ACAAAAGAGGCACTTAAAATCTCCTTTGAATTATGCAGAAGAGCTAGTTTCAAGGAACACTGATTTAGGATCTTTTCATTATAAAAGGAAGAAAAATTAAGAAATTATTTGTCATTATAAACTGTAAACTTCAATCAATACCTCTATTAGAAAGCATGAATTTTAAGGTTTTACTCCAATTGCCCAATATTTATAATAATTTAGAAAATGAGTATCGGAGAAAAGATGTAATTTGATCCCATATGGTCAAATGTAACATTGTAGACCATTTCTAAAATGATTTAGTTTACAATATGATTAAATGCTAGCCTGTACAACATACTCAGTAGATCATTTTAAAAGAAAACAATGGGATATACTTGATTAATTTTTGCAGAACAGCTACAGGCTTGAACATGTATAACCTAATTTCAATGTAAATATTAACATCTCTATAAAACTGTACCTCTCACAAAGGGTAAAATCAAACAGCCAGGGCCAACAAGTTTGCAGGTAACAGAACACCTTTTAGGTCATTTGTTTTTCTTATGTTTTAGGCACTTACATATTACATATGACATCCAACAGCAGCAGAACCCTGTAAACTAAAGCAAAACCATGCTGCTATTTTTAATATGTTAATTTTTCCTAATAACTGGATTGAAAGAATATAAAAATGACGCCACTTTGAAGCATAGCAAAGTCTAAGGCACCCTAATTTATTGTCTAAAAGGTGCACCTTACATACTCATTAATCTCAAGATGGCTCTAATCACCAAGCTTCAGAGAATATTTAGAAAGATCCCAGTTGCTTGCATCCCTAGCATTTTTTTAAATAGCTGTGGTCCACCTTCCTTCCTCGGTCAAGAGGAGAAAAAAAGAAAAAGAGTAAAGGAAAAAGAGACTTCTCTGTGAAGAGGTATGGCCTTGGAGTCCAAGCTTTTGAGATGCGTTAGTGATCTTGGATCGATGCCTTTTTATTGTCTTTCAGGAATACATCTGAGCAATGGAATGGCTTGCGATTGTCCAGCCAACCAGCCATATCAGATTTATCAGAAAGAAAGAATGAAAAGTGGCTCAGAGGACTCCTGCAGTGGCTGAGTGGCAGGTTGCTGGGAAAAAACACACACACACAAAGAATATGCTTAGTGGTGGAGGGGAAAATATATACTCTCATGTATAAACTCAATAAACAATAAGATGTAAAAAAAGAATCTATAGTAATGGAAAGGGTGAATGCGTAAGACAGATGATAAATAGCACTTCTATTTAAGAACCAAAGGGATGAAAGCTCATGAATACTAAATATTTGAATCCACTTTAAGGAGGAAATACAATTTTACCTCAAATAAATGCAAAGTCTAAAATTTAGCCAGTGCAAACTTACTGTGTTCAGGTTAGAGTAAAAAAATATTAAAATTTCCAAGAAGTACATGCCCTGGTAAACATTCTAATGTAATTTCTTAATTAAGACACATTTCCAGTGACTAAATGAAAAATATAAAAATCAGTAAGTGCCCTGACTTTCAAAAAAATTGACTTTCCACGTACTCATGATTAAAATAAATAAAAGTGGTTTGATGTGTGAAGAAAATCAGAAAATAGGAATCATGACAGAACCAAGTCTTTCAATTTTTATCATAACAGTCCACTTAGAGTGTTTCCAAGTGATACACAGTTAATACTGATACATATAAATTTATTGAGAAGCATTTTCAAGGAAAAAATGTAAAAAGACCCCTTTTACACATATGAGATGTTCAAAATTAAAAGAAAAAAAAGGGGAACAATGCACCCATGGGTGTGTTTGCAGCCAACACATGTAGGAAAAAGAATCGATGTGGGGTTTATTTTGAACATTTAACCTCTTTCTCATCATTTAACTAAATGTATTAACCTTTTTCTTCTCAAAGGTAAAACAACCCTTAAGATTGGAGACACATCTTAAATATGTAGGAAAATATGTAGGTATGTTCTTTTATACAATGAAAGCAGGACTAAGTTACTTGCAAATAAGGCATGGGAACTTCACTTGCTCACCCCTTATCTGTTAAGGTGAGTAAGACTACACATTCCATACCACTGTGTAGTTCATTTCAACACAAAGGTGACAGTGATTGTTTTTTCAGTCATACCAGGAAGACAGAAATTTGGGAATTAGTCCTTTTAGTGGTGAAGGCTTTATAGTAGCCATATAAAGGGCCCTTGACGATAGTATTTCTTCATAAAATGAATCACTAGAAATGAGGCAAAGTCCTTCTGAATCACACACACACACACACACACACACACAAATCGCTTTCTCTGAAGCTGCAGAACAAGAACAGATCCCGTTCAGTTACAATTATTTTCAGAAATATCTTAACTCCGTTGAAGAGAACTGTCGTGCCCCTCCCCATATTTTTATTCTATTCACATAAAGCAGTAAATAAGGTGCATTCCTTCTGCTTCTTAAGAAATTAGCATTTCAAAAATATGCCGCTTTCCCCTGAACTCCAAGCGTGTCTAATAATGCGAGAAGCAGATTGTCTTCCCTCGTTTCCTTAATTTGTTTCATCTAAAAGCAATTCACTCAACATCTTGTCGCCCTCTGGCAGCTTAGTTTACTTATCCGCACTTAATTTCTCATTTGGACCAAAACAAACTCCTCCAAACTGCTACTGACTGCTAAGCACGAGAGTGGAGACGCAATATGTATTTACGTGGGAACAGGCAGCCGCACACACAGGGCCACAAACACACAGACCTCCACTCACGCCCCAGACAGCTACTGGGTGTTATAAAAGCTCCACATTAAAACCAGCTGAACTTTCCCTGCCAGGTGCGGCCGGGCGAGGGTGCGGCAGGGGGGAAACAAGAAGTCCCCGGGGGCATTTGCAGTTTCCAGTGGATCACCTTAGCATGCGCGTTGCAATTATACCAGGGATGCGCCCGACAGCTTGTCTTTGTGCGGCCCTTTTATCTAGATCACTGTGTTTTGAACAAGTGAGGCTCGCCTTTGTGTCCCCAGAATTTCAAGTACAGAGTCACACACGGAGCAACAATGGCACGCTAATCCTCGCGTTCTAAATGGGCTCACTTGTGGGTCTGACAATTCGCGGGGGGGGGGGGGGCGGGGGGGGCGGGAAGCGAGAAGAGACCAGCTGCAGAACTAATTTGGATTACATTCCTCGCAGAAATTCTGAAAAGGGCTTTTCGGCATAGCTCAACCCCAAGCCACACAGTTAATACCAAATTGCTGCGGACTCGGAGCCTGGTCCCCCCGCGACTGAAGCTGAACCAGACAGCCCCCAGTAGGTCGCCTCCTAGAAATTCCTCTCTGCGAAGCGTGCTCGTTGGTCTCAACTGCTTTTGAATGGGTCAATGTGCATAATCAACACCCACTGAAGGAAAATATGAAGGGACGCGGAGTGGGGAGGGAGATAAAAAGGGATGTAGCTAAGAGGCCGCTTGGAATCTCCAGTCCGTGCTGGTGTAATTCCGGAGGTGGCTGGAGCGCAGAACCTGGTATGCATGAAGAATTTCAGAGTAACTGGGAGGGTGCAAACGACCAGTACACACGGCGCACAGTGTGCGATTCGAAGGTCATTTTGAAAGGCTCTAGGATTGTAACTTGTTATTTACTAGTCAAGGCAAGGAGGGGGAGGCGACGGCGGCTGGGGCGGAGCGGGAAAACTACAGCGCACTGTTTTCTCGGTGAGGTCAGAAGGACGCCCTCCCCGAGCCCAAAGCTCTCGCATCGCCACTCCCGGGGGCTTCATCTTCTGTAGCTGCCTCCCACGCTCCCGGGAGCAGCCCCGGTTCGTTCGGGAAATCTCTCCCGCTCCCCGAAAGGGCTCCCTCGGCCGCGTCAAACGCCGATTCTCTGCGGTCCCTTCCAGTCTCACTTCCCTCCCCAGGAAACTCAAGCGTCAAACTTTGAGCTCCCTCGCAATGCAGGTGCTGCCTGAGCCCTGCCCGCCGCTGCCTCGAGGGGGTCGCTTAGCCTTCGGCCTGTCCAGGTGGCTGGGGCTCCAGCTCTCTCCAAAACAGTGGCCGCGCACCCAGCACAGCCGCACCCGCCTCCGGTTCAATCAATTCGCGCGACTGGTCGGCCCGGCAGCCGCACTGGGCAGTAAACAGAGAAGTTGGAGGGACTCCGGCCAATAGCAAGTTTAACTACAGGACGAACTCTTCCTGGAGCCAAACCCAGTAACCGACGGGAAGGCCGGGCTCCGGGCTCTAGTACGTCAACCCTTCTCTCTCTCTTTCTCTCTCTCTCCCCCTCTCTCTCTCCTCTCTCTCTTTTGAAAAGAGGTCAGCCAGGCAGGCAAGCTCCCTTCAAGTCAAGTGCGCGAGAGCTCTGGGACTAGCGCCCAGGAGGCCCGGAGTTCCGGGCCCCAGGGCCGGGGCGCGCCTGTCCGCAGCCGCAGCAGCCAAGGCTGGGCTCCAGTCGGGTGTGACCCAGCAAGGCTCGGGCGAGTGGAGGCGCAGGAGCCGCCCGCAGCACACACAGGTGCAAAGCCGGTTCTGGAAGCTGCGCTCTACACCACCGTCCCGCACAGAAGAGGCCCAGCTGGCACCGTCCCGGGACCCCAGCCCTTCCACGTCCCCGGCAGTGTGCGCTTTTCCAAGGCAAGTCTTCCCTCCCGGACCAGAGAGACGAGGTCTCCTCTGACTCGGGGTTTGAGTCTCCCTTGTCCCTCACAACACGCGCGACAATAAGGGATCCCGCACAGGCTCGCAGAAAAGGCGTGAGAATAAAAAAAAAGGGGGTTAAGGAGAGAGGAAAAAAGATAGTGGTGCAGAGTGCCCCCCCCCCCGCCACGACAAATAAAACGCATGCACACACTGAGGATAAGTTTGGGGACGGAATAAGAGGTGACCAAGAGCCCAAGGAAGAAGACCTGGTGGATTGATCCCTCCTCTGCTTAGAGCCAGCGGCTGTCAAGTTGGGCGAAGGGGGCAAGGGACCCACCCGTGCAGACAAGCCGCCCGCAGCAGGTTCAACAACTGGAGCGCAAAAAGGAACCACGACCCACCTGACTGAGAAGCGCTGGGCTGGACGGTCCCCGCCGCTACCAGAAGGCTCACCCAGATGCACAGTCCTGTAGCCAGCTTCATTTTTTGGAAGTCTCAGATCCCGAGCTGACAGTTACATGTCCAAATGGCATATCCCCTTTCGGGCACGCAGAAGAGATCCGTCAGCCAGGAGCGCGTGGGGGGCGCGAGGGGGACTGGCGCGTCGCACGAGCGGTGCACCTACCCCGAGCGCGGGCCGCCGAGTCCGCTATCGCCGGACCAAGTCCCAGGACCGGAGGAGGGGGACACTGTGCGCGTGAGTGCGCGCGCGTGTGTGCGCGTGTGAAAGGGTGCTCGAGTGTGTGAGCTTGGAGCTCCTGGTCGGACTGTGCGGCTATTTCACTGTGTGACCGTTCTGTCTCGCTCTCCTTCCCTGCTCACTTTCTCTCTTTCTCACTGGCCGGGCAACAATAAAAAGAAAGGGGGGGAAAAGGGTTTCCAAAAAAAGTTGGTTGCAAAGGGGCGGTAGGTTTCCGGCCCCTCGCCCTGGCCGGGCTCTGATCGGCTCCCTTTATAGTTTCCTAGCACCTCCAGTCCAAATTGGGAAGTGGGCAGGGGAAGCTTCTTGCTTCTTCTCCCCCTATCCAGTCCTTTTTCCTGTCAGCTTTCCTCACACTTGTCCGGCGGCTGCGGTAATTAAAGCTCCAAGCGTCATTTCCAACGCTCCGCAGTCTCCAGCTGCAGCCCCACGGAGAAATTAATAAGACACCCGGAGGAGGGGGAAAAAAAAAAGGTGGAGGGGGGGCGGATAAAACAACCCTCCACGCAACCAGCCTGGCTCTGTTCAGCTGCGCAAACCCCGCCCCTGCTATGACCCACAAGCCACGCCTTTTCTCCCGCTCCCTCCCCCAAAGGAAAATCTTATTGGTTCAGCCACTCTCCAAAATCGTGGACCCTAGGAGTTGGGAAAACACCTGTCAGGGCGCGGGAGCTGGATTTAAAGGGCTCACCCCAGGCACAGATTGAGTGAAACAGAGATCCGGAATAGCTGGCCCATGAAGTGTCAGACCACTGGAGGGATGTTTACAGAAAAGATTATACATCTATAATGGTGAATTTCATATAGAAATTTCATTTTTTCCATTGCCTCAGTGGTACTCACCCAAAGACTAGGCTTTCCCTAGAAACTAAGAAAATAAAACGTTACTTCAGGCGTAAAGCCTCTACTCTTCTCTGTACCCTCTCATGCTCCACACTCTGAAATGTGTTTAAAAGCTGCTTCAGTATCTGACAGCTTCTGCAGATCAGGTAACCCTGGGGACATAATCACCTGTCTTCCCAATCTCCCCCAATTCCCATCCTCCCAAAATGACCTGCACTGAGTCGAACTACAATTCAACATGCGTAGAACTACATCCTTTGATTTTTAGTTTTATGGATCTTTTCAGTTTCCCCTTGGACTCTAGGACAACTTGCTTTGGGATTCATTCCCATTAAACAGATTCTAATTGAGAGTTACCAATTAGGTTATAAAGGGCCAGCAATTGTCCCAGGCCTGAGCTGTTCAGGTGAAAGAATTTAAGATGGCCAGGTCAGGAGAGAACCAATCTCAAATGATCAGGTGAATGGCCCAAGCTTTAGGCCCCTTCCATATTCTCATTCTGCAAGTTCACCCTGGCCAGTCCCCAGGTCATTGCTAGCTACAGGAATTCCTGGGATTTTTTGATCTAACATATGTGGGGATTGAGTCATATCCGAGGACACACCTCTTGGCCTTTGCGGCTCTGAAACTGTACCCTGGGCAGGGGCCAGAATCTCAGGCAGTAGTAGGTTATTGGTTTGCTATTTGCACAAGCATTCTACTTGTGAATTTCCCTCTTTTTTCAGTTTCTCCAGGAGCATCACATGCATAAATAAAATGTGTCAGAGGGACTTAAAAATCAAGCCACCCTGCCTCCTCACTCAACATTTAAGACCTTCCTACTCCTCCCCCACATCTTTTATCTATAGTCTTGTCCCCACAGAACTTCCGTGGAGCTGAGAAACAGCAGCCTTATCCCAGAAGCCTGAAGCCTTCCCTTTCTTAGGCCCCTGGCAAGTAACAGGCACAGAGAGTAGGCCAAACAAGCAGAGCTTACTGTTTTACCCAGAGGCAGCCTCTGGCCTGGAGGAACTAAACCTAGAGCAGACCACGGTGACTAAATGATGGTGCCGATTGCAACAGAACTATGCACACTGCTCTTTGGGATTATCTTTGCTTTCTATTTTTATCATTCGCCCCACCCTATTTTCTTTCACTCAATTTCTTCTCAGTCCCCTTTCCTAAATCACCTTCTGCTTCCTATGATGTCTCTGAGATACCTCTTTTTCATGAAAGCTACTTCTTAAATTTCCATTCTGTCCCCAGAATAGTTGAAGGGATTAAAACAAAAAACAAAAAAGCCCAACTTCTTGTTATTGGAAAAGTCGCAGTTTCTGAGTTTTAAAAAAAGAAATCTTTATAATAATAATTATGTTGTAAGGAGTGAAGAAATAGATTGTGTATTTTAGCTGGAATTAAGGGGAAAATTAAAACACAGTATTTGATAGCTTTTTATACTTGTGTCAATTGTGATAGCGTTTGCTCCTGTGTCCATTTTATAGCTCTTCTGTACCAGGAACTTTCCTACATGTCTTGGTCACAGCCATGCATCTAAAATAATTTTTGGCAAAAGAGGGATTTCAACTAATATCCATTGGTTATCAGTCTATGTTTTTTCAGATGCTAGGCAGCTCATTCTAGGTACCCTCCCATTAAGTTAGTTGACGCATCCATGATTTTCCCCTAATTCTCAATTTCTTCTGCCTTGGTCCCATTTTCCTGTTCTAACTGTGGAAACAGTGATTGATACCTGGCCAAATCTGGGTACCTGACCAGCAGCCTATAAAATTAATTGGTGTGAAAGGTCTACCCCCAATAAAACATCCCACATTCTATGGTGACTGGTCTACCCAATCAGAGTCTGGCTCAAATACTTTGAATATGAGACCCTAGAGACTTAGGAAGTTGGTACCCTGTTCGGGGGAAACCAGAAGAGTGGGAAAGTAGAAGCAATGAGCTAGAGTCAAGATTTAATGTTTTATGTGCCTGCTCTCACTTGCTTCCCATTTCCACTGAGTCATTGTTAGAAAGGAACAGCGGAAGAGAGGACATTGACCACCTGATGTGGAAAGGACATGCTAACTGGATTGCTAGAGGACTTCTGAAATGGATTTTTTTACTTTCCTATGTATCCGTATCCAACAGGATACATCAGTCGACTTAACTAAAACATGTCGCTATTATTTGCAACCTGGAAAAAAACAAATCTTAGTAACCAACTTGTGATTTGGCAAAACACGAGGGAATATCTAGAAATGTCTGCTCAGTACTCCTTTTCTAGGAACTGCCCTCCCCTCAGTCCAACACATTTAACTTAGATCTGCCTCCATCATACAATAAGCCCCACACCTCCTGACCCTGAGGCTCTTCTCTGGCAATTTTGTGCATGGGAAGGAAAGAGTTAATGTTGTCATTTGCTGGTAGTTTTTGAGATATAAAAGTCCACAGCTGGTCTGTTTCCTTTTATGAAGAGATAGCCAGGATACAGTGAAAAAAAGAAAGAAGCTGCCATTTTAAAGCAGCAAAAGCCCAGATGGGTCTGAAGAATGCTCAAATGCCCGTCCGTAAATAAGTGGATCAAAAAACTGGGCTACATTTACACAATGGAATACTAAGGAGCAGGAAGAAAGAAGAGGCTCCTACCCTTTGTGACAGCATGAATGGAACTGGAGAGCATTTATGCTAAGTGAAATAAGTCAGGCCATGAAAGACAAAATACTTATGATCTCATCTATAAGTGGAACCTAATCAACAAAACAAACAAGCAAGCAAAATATAACCAAAGACACTGAAATAAAAAACAAACTGACAGTAACCAGAGGGGAGAGGGATAATGGAGGAAAAGGGGAAGGGTCATCAAGGAACAAGTATAAAGGACACATGGACAAAGCCAAAGGGGGTAGGATTGAGGGTGGGAGGGGAGGATGGGTGGGATGGAGGGGCGTAGTGGGGGAAAAATGGAGACAACTGTACTCGAACAACAATTAAAAAATTAATTTTGCCCAAAGGGACAAAAAAAAAGCTCCTCAAACAAACTCTTCCTGTGACTTTGTTGTTCAGACACCCTTTTACCTTATGCTAGTTCAATTTTTGTTTTTGTTACCTGAAACCAGAATAGCATGAAATGGTCAAAGAATTTCTCCAACTTGAGTGAGATCGCATAGGCCATAATGCCCGTGGAGGGAGCTATCTTGGTGTGGCCCATATTCTTTACTTTCCCTTCGCAGTGGTTCGTGATTTCCCATGACTGCAGCCATAACCCCAGCATAGAAATCCCTGCAGCCTCTGCTGCTTTGCAATATCCCCTTCTCCACTGCATTTCTTCCATTAGTAATACAATTCAAGGAGAGTCTTGACATCATGAATGACAATGTTTCTGGTTAGAGAAAAGAATATATTGATCTCTGGGTTCAATGTTGAATTAGATACCTTGTCCCAGCCTTATAGTTCACTCCAATCTTCAGTTTGTTCCTAAATCTTCCCTAAAGATAAGATTAGAGCTCTCTGGTTTAGACATGTTGCTATTGGCTATGAATATAAATTTGAGGCAAAAATCAACTAAGAAAGAAAACAGGATGCTCTGATAATTGAATGATCAATTCTTGTCCCCTGAACATTTAAACATACAGAATTCTCATCTCCCTCCCACCATCCTCTTCCCCATCATCTAAGTTATCTTGTGATCACAAAAAGCTCACTTCATGCCTGTGAGCTCACCGCCTCATCTTTAAAGGAAGAGATTGCTATGTCCCAAATCTAAGACTTCATGAGTCTCTGATTTACTAATCACCTACTATGTGCAAGTCAGAATTTTCACAGACTTCCATTGTTTCTTATAGTTGTTCCTCTTTTTCCCCATTTAACTATACACACAGCTCTTTTTAAGGGACACCAACACAGCCACACCTACAATGCCTTAAGGACATACAAAATAAGCTCACTACTGTATTACTGGGAAGGCCTCAAGGCTTTGCATCTTCACTATTCTATCAGCTAAGAAGAAATTTTTATAAATGTAAATCAGGTTCAGTATTATGATGATCAGTTAAATGAGAGACGACTGATCATCATAATAATGGTGGTGGTTTTTGTTTGGCTGGCTGTTGTTAATTAACTGGTACTCAGACTAGCTTCTTGCCCTGGCTGGTGTAGCTCAGTGGATTGAGTGCAGGCCTGTAGACCAAAGGATCAAGGTTCGATTCCCAGTCAGGGCACATGCCTGGGTTGCAGGCCAGTTCCCAGCAGGGGATGCATGAGAAGCAACCATACATTGATATTTCTCTCCCTCTCTCCTTCCCTTCCTTTCTAAAATATATAAATAAAATATATTTTTTTAAAGAAAGCATAACATCTTTGCTCTTAACCCTCAGAGTTCTGACATTCTCTGGTATTTTGGCGGTGTTCCATATTTCAAAGATAAAAAATTAAAAGATCAAGCATTTAAAAAATGCATGAATACACACACATTAACTAAAGAAATATTTTTATTGCCTTAGTTAATTTAATATCCAAAGAGAATGACTTCACTTTTGGTTAATAAATGTTGTTTTCTTTCTATGTGCATGAGTAATCCTTAATTTTTAAACTGCTAAGGAGGAGTGATTGAACACGAAGAAATCAAGTCTGTGTCACTTTAATGTCTAGTCATCAGTGTCTGCCCAAGTTCTTACAGACATTTTTGGT